TTTTCTCGAATGATTCTGAAAACGCAATATCTATTCCAAAACTAAGAATAATAATAATAACAATAAAATAGTACAACAAAAATAGTATAATAATAAATTTTTACTTTATTAAGTGTGAATACACAACAAATAAGAGTTAATAATACAATTAATGTGCACACAAAAAAATAATATAATCAACATACATACACACAATAATATACACACACCAACATAACAAGAATATTTTCCTTTTTTTCTCAAGTGATTTTGAAAATGCAATACCTATTCTAAAATAATCAAGTAAAATAATAATAATAACAATAACAATAAATTTAATAAATCTATATATTGTTCGCTTCTAATATCTTGCGTAAATATAGTGTATGCCCTTTATAATATTGTCTTGAATAACAGTAATTACAATAACAGTAAAAGTAATAATACATATATAATAATAAGAATATTTTCTCTTTTTTTCTTGATAATTTCGATCACTTCGACGTTCTCATCTAGGCGGGGCGGGTCTTTTTCGAAATCCGGAAGTGCATCGGCCACGTGATGCGAATCGGCGTCACGAGGTAACAGTCAGGTGTTTTCGGAGTGCCTTCTGCTCCATTGAATCAGTTACTGTGCGTACGGTTCAGCGTGAATTCGCGTTTGTTTGACCCGGCCTTAACTCGATTTCCAGAATGACGAGAGGCACGGGAAAGCCGAGCAATATGGTCCGCGTGTCATTTTTCGCACTGTTCGCCGTCTATCAGCTTGCCTTCGCTTTCGCTTGCACGCCCGCTGTGATCTGGTGCTCCCACGATCATGATTCGTCCGACTATGATGCGACATACAGAATGGTGCCGTCGAGTCCGTTGCAGAAGTTGACTTCCGACGAATTTGAAAAGAGTCTGTCGCAGTTGAATGTTACCGAGCCAGTGGTCGTTGAGGAGCTATGTGTCGAGGATCTGCGGAATAGCAAGGTTAATTCTTTTTGCCCCTTCCTGGCTATCTGCGGCTACAAAAGAGAAGCTTATCAGAAAGTCTTAGGTCCAGTTTCATAATTCATTAACTTGATTAACGCTTAATCGAGGTTCAACTTATTTCTCATCTCTTTTCAATTCTAGAATTGGAAAGGCAATGAATAAATTGAACCTCGGAACTGTTGAAGACTTAACAGTGAGTTGTGGAATTGGGTTTTAAGAAGGAATATAGGAAAAGATAACGGTGGAAAGAAATCTTGAATTTCGATTGCATCTGGTTCACATTAGTCTAGTGTACAGTTTCCTCCAAAGCATTCACTCACATTTAAAGCAACGTTGAACCAAAATAAGTTGATAGAAATACGTTGCACTCTTTCCACTTCAATTCACAAAGTCTCTACTTCCAACAGAAACAACACACTAAATCAACATAAAAGTGGAACTGAGAATTTTGATAAAAAGTGTTGCAATACTATTGTCATAAGTTTTAATTTGTTACCTCTCTCATTTCTTATATACCTTTCTTCTTTCTCTAGATTATGGATATACATTTGTTATATATATAATTTAAAGATGAAAGATATACAAGAAAATATCCCCAAATTTGTATTGAATATTTAATGGTAATAAGACTATTTAGTTTGTTCGCTATGATCTACATGTTTTTCCATTCTATGTATGCGGATGTTTTAACGTATTATCAATAATGACAGTTTAGAATTATATTCTTGTGCATTCTTTTCTTCTCCTGTGAATCTTCTAGAAATATATTTGTTATAATTTCAAAATAAAAGAAGAAATTCCTAAACACAGGAAGAAATTCCTAAACTTATGTTGAATATCTAATAGCAATAAGACTTTGTTTTATTATAATTTACAAATATTTTCCATCCTGCAATCGTATGTCTGTTAATATATTATGTTTGAGTGCTTTTTCTAGTGATACAAGTCAACACAAATATTTCTTGATATTCAAAGAAATAACAAAAAATAACACTTGCATCCAAATGGAAAACACACAGAAATTTAAAATTAAAAACAGATACATCAATTATTTTTTTTAGAAAATCTTTCAGAAATCATAAAATGAAGTTGTTATAAATGTACAAATGTTGCAGGTGCTGTCAAATGCCACTAATGGTTCCAAAATATTTTATTTCCCGTGTGTCGATTCGCCCGACGAGATCTTCCAAAAGATCTATAAAGAAAAACAGAAAAAAATAGAAGTTATTGATCATGAGTTGAACATGATCCTCAAGGACATCGATTCGAACGGATGCATAGCACTTACTGGAAAACAGTGTCGTTACAGCTACACTGAGCGAATAAAGAGAGAAGCGCTTGCGGACAATTTTACTTCAGAGTTCAAGATAAAAACAGACAATGTTCTATTGTATTCCGCTCAACCATTGATACTCAAAGTAAATAATATTAATAAAATATTAATATTGCTTAAGAAATTTTAAAGCAAATTTCTCAAATGGTTTTAAGACTTTCTCTTTATAATTTATGTATTAAATGATAAAAGAGAAGGAATTTACAAAAAACATGAACTTATTCGATGTCAATTAATTTAGGAAGGCAAAATTAAAGGTAATACAAAAAAAGTGTTGTGCCATTGCAGATATCTGACAAGCCGGAAGTGCAGCTTATTCAATCTAAAGTCACCGGAATGTCGTCTCGTAAGAGCAATGATAGCGTAGTGATATTAACTATCAAACTCACCGATCAGACCATCGGCAGTCTGACGCTCGACTTTTTCTTCGAGGTCAAAAGCGCCGGCTACTACACGTTGAATAGAGTGAACTACGAGACGACCAATGGAGTTGATAATCTATCTACCAGGCGAGACATTTCCTTTCCATTCGGTTTCTCTTATCATTGCTCACCGAAAACCACCTTTACGGACGGTACTACATTCTTAAATATCATGGATATGCAAGTACAGGTCGATCACAAAGATGCGACGTTCAGCGATGCGTATGACTGCGTCGGTTTTACCAGTATACCAATTTGGACGGGGATATTCGTGACCGTAATATTGGGCTTGATTATGATATGGGCGCTCATCATGATCATGGATATCCGCACGATGGACAGATTCGATGATCCTAAGGGGAAAACTATCACGATTTCCAGCGCGGAGTAGAATAATAATAATAATAATAATAATAATAATGGAACTTATAATGCAATTATAGGTATTGAATACTCTTGCGAAATCTATTATCAGATAAGATCATGTCGATTGTTCACGATGATGATTATTATCTTGAACGTTTAATGTCTCTAATTTGAGTGTTACATGTTTTCACAAAAACCGAGAAAGTATTGAGTAGTGATGATAATACTAATCTCATTACGAACTTTCATTATGAACTTTCGCTTGATGTATAAATATCATTCCTTTGTATAATATTACTTTCGATATTTATAATTGTTCGCTATAGTGAGTTTGCTGTTTGTATGATACAATGGTTATGAACTGTTATTTTAGTGTTCAGTCTTTATGAAAAGAATAAAAAAATCCTTCGAATGAAGATAGCACAATATATATCATTAAATAAAAATATGAACAATAAGTGTTCTTCTAAACAGAAATATATTATATAATACGCAATAGAAAAAGAAATTGTATAGTCACATGAACGGTGAAATTACAGCTACAATGTTGCTTGTTACTATTTCTAACAGGCAATGTATATTATATTAGAAATGATAGAAAAAAGCAGAGATGTATATTGAGAACTGTTATACAATAGACAAATAAATTTCTACTATGGCCTCGCGCCTTCTGTAAACGGTTCTGATGTCTATATAAGCTTCCTTGTTAATAAGAGTTTGTAAAAAAGTAACATAAGTTATAATATAAATATAATGTTTAATATAATGTATAAGAAATATATACAATATAAATGTCCTGTAAAATCGACTTGTCGCCTTTTTTAAAAACTTATTCATGCCGAACATGCAGGAACATTGGTACCATGAATTATCATAAACACCATAGAATATGGTGGTAATAATACGGGATTCGAAGGATTTAATATCACAGGTCGAAATGGCGGCAAATCACCATTCGGTCGCAGTTTTAGCGCCTCAGCTTCGCCGTTCAGCTTTATCTCGCTGCAAAACAAATATAACTCAATTTATTATTCATTCGGCTTAATATTCGTTTGATTATTATTATAGAATTTTATTCATCATTTTATACATACCTCGACTGCAAATGATCAGCGGTTAGAGAGTAATATGAAATCATGGTTTTACTGTTTTGGACAAACAATTCCGGAATATGTACGTAGGCCGCAGTTTTATCTATATTCATTCCGTAGACTGTGACAGCCGGTACTCTGGAAATCAGCGCATTTTTCGACGTGCAATGCGCGTACAATCGTACGTAGCCAAAATTGTCGGGCCTTGACAATTTCAAAACCTTTTCCGAAACAAATTGCTTGTAAAAGACGCTGACCCACCAGTCAGGGTTGGGTGTGAGATTCGGTGATACCATAGCATAATTCCCGCCGAATAATGATTGTCTTGTAACGACGTCTAATCCCGCGCTAGCGCTGTATCCCAATTTATCCAACCATAAAAATCCGGCTACGAATCTGTCGGACAATTCGGGTGCACCTCCGCCAAATGCAGTGCTGGTCTCGGCTATAAATTAAATTTTTTTATTGAATGCAGTCTTTGTACTATACAATAATATGTTCTTTGTTAAGAAATCTATCCTAAGAATCTATAAAATATAGAATCTCTTAAAAAGATTACACATAATGACATTTAGAAAGGTGGATTAAATCGGAAGATTTGTAGTTTTAAAGAAAACATATTAGAGATTTATGTACGTACAAATAGTATTATGATTTAGAAAAATAATTTTTCAAGAATAAAGTTGAAAGCGGAAAAGTGATACTTTAATGTAATATCCAATATTTTAATATTAATGTAAGATACGTACACAGCCACATAGAAACATCTTTCCCCGACTCGGCAATAAATTGTCTCATAGAATTGATTTGCGCTGGTAACCAGTTGAACGTGGAAGGTGTCACGAAATCATTGACTTTAGCCTCTCGTCCATTCAGATAATATTGATGCCAAGTGACATAATTCACAGTATTCTTCTGACTACTTAAAAATGCCTTGACATACAGTTCTCCCATCTCATTAGAATCTCCGACGTGATTAACTTCTGGTCCAACGAGAATGCTGTCGACGTATCCTGCTTCGTTTAGCAATTGCCTTAAATGATCGTAATCCTTCGCAAGTTTGGTCGCAGGAATTGTCACATTGAATACGTGTTTAAAGGAATTTGGTTCTAAAAACAACATTTGTCGAATATAAATATTAGGAACTACATGCGCATATAATTCTATTTATGTATACATATTTTATGATAACTTAATATTTATACTGATATCATCAAACAATTAAAATTTCTTCATTGTTAATTTAATATTTGTATGTTAATCATATTTTACATATGTTGATTTTTCACATTTATATAGTTTCTTACCATTTCCCAATTGCCAATCTAACATCATGCCTTGAGTCTTAGTGAATGCGATAATCTCTTGTGCGTTGCTGTTATTCCAAGATCCATTTAGATTTCTGAGCAATACATTTAGATCAAAGATCATTCGTAACTCCGACTTCACTGTAAAATCATAGATAGCAAGCAAATCCGCGCCAGAGATAGTAAAGTTGCTGATATCCTGGCCATCCACAGGACTAAGGATCTTCTCGGATGAGTTTTGTTCCATCTGAATCATGTATTAAAACATTAAGATTAAACAAGCAGTTTTATAACAATAAATTATTCTATAATTTTGAAATAAGTAGGAAAGGTAAATAAGTTTGCGTGACAAATGTGTTACTTATAAAGAATATTATATTTTGCAAACCAACCTGATCCTGAACAAATGTCAGACAATCCGCAGAGGTTCCACCCACTCTGACATAAGCAGGACTTAAGTGATGGGCCAAATTGATAAATTTCTGTTGTCCAACAGGTAACTCATTCATTCTTCGAAGTAAGGATGTATCGAGACCAAACGACAAGAACTTGTCGGAAACAATGTGTAATACAGGCTGCTGTCTGTCAAAATGGAATACATAGAGGCGGATTGGAACTTGGATATTGGAGCTCCATAATGAGAGAATCAACAGCATCGAGCATAGAGCCAATGCAGTACAACAAAGTATAGAACGAAAAGCTGGGCCTGTTATAGAAAGAACATGTCAAGATTCATTTAATAATAAAAAAGGTTATGTTAAGTTAAAAGGTATGGTAAGAAATAAAAAAGTTATATGCAACATGTGTATAACTTTTGAATAGTTTTAATATACTACAAAGAATTTTACACTCTTACAAAATATTGTATTTTTAATTTTATAAAATCGCAAGAAAATGTCATTAAATAATTTTTTAATTTAGCTGAAGATTGTAAGTCAAAACATTGTCTAATGGTTTGAAAAACTAATTTTTATTTTTTTTGTTGTTGATGCTTAAATTAGTTTCTAATTTGTGATCTAATTATTTGTTTGATATTTTTCTTATATTTTTTATTGTTTTATAATTCTGAGATAGATAATTGATTCTTTTGCAATTAAAATAAATTTAATGAAGACAGCTATAAAATGTTACATCAAATGTATATATTATATATACGTTTGAAACATGACCATGTGACGCGAATTTCCCGGCAAATATGGCGGAAAGATGGTCATTAGCAGCTATTGTCGGCGACGTAACACTGAGAAAAATAGAACATAATATGCGATAATTGATACAATATTTTAGAAGAAGTGATCAGTGAAGCGAAGCAAGTAAAGACGAGTCGTACATTCATCTCGCATCTCTCTTCAAATACATATGTCCGAAGTTCCAACTTACCACCACGTACACGCGAATCGCTCAATTCCTGATACCGGCCCTTGCTCCAGTCATTGCTTACGAAATAACTCATCGTCGTCGAGAAGATTCCCAAGCCTAACCGGAGCCTAGAAAACTAGAACGACCGTCTCAAATCAGTCTCAAATGGTCGCAAATGTCACACGCGGATTCGCCACTCTTTTTGCGCATCAACAATTGAACGCTCCTCGTCTTGCTTTCTGCTTCCGCTTAGCGTCGCGAGAACAATCGAGAGTATCGAAACGAGCGCGATAAAAACTATGAATGAATTTAGTCATTCAAAATCGGCACTAAAAAAAAAATGTAAGAAAAGAAAATGTATTCAATTTTAATAAATATTTATTTAAATAGTGCCAGTTGAATATTTACTAAATATATTTATTTAATACAATAACTATTAATTTAACTATTGTATTTTTTATTTAGCAAATATTTTAATAAATAACTTTTAAAATGTAAATAAATGTTATATTAGTATTCAAATAATTATTTATTGAAATTTGATTTTTTCTCAATGTGGATTAGTATACATTAAAGATTATTTTATATAAA